ACCTTTCCTGGAACTCACTTGGTAGCCCAGGCTGGCCTTGAACTCACAGAGATCCGCCTGGCTCTGCCTCCCAAGTGCTGGGATTAAAGGCGTGTGCCACTACTACTTTTGAGTGCAGATGTTGCCTTCCAAAGGTGCGCAAGGTAGGCTGTCCAGCCAAGGGCAGGCTTGCTCATGACTCCCAGTATTTATTCTCATCCTCACTCACTCAAACTGCTTTGTAGTGGTCTGGCCTAGACGTGAGGTACCAGAGGCAGGATGGGTTCGGCGAGTCAAGAGCAAGCCATGCACTTAGATGTTTGCTGCTCTCCACTTCTTGGTTCCTTGAAAACATATTGTTGCCTGGTGGCAGGCATCCAGGCATGGGTCTGTGAGGATCTGGAATCAGGTAGAGGGGCAAAGAGAAGTACACGGCAAGACAGCTGTTAATTAGACAAGAAACCCAGGCCTGGGCCCTTCAGTTTTTGCCTTGTATACCACAGGTCTAACGTACCGCAGAAGAGGGCTAAACTGAGCAGTTTCAGGCCCCCCTGCAGCCGGCCATGAGAATCTTAAGTATCCACTTTGGGTACTCTATTACCCTAACCTCATGAGCCCTTGGGGTGAGAATGTGTCACCTAATCAATGAAACAGTTCACTTTTTCTTGGGCCCACAGTGCTTTCTGTCGCACTCAGTGGTGTTTAAACCTGCACTGTGTTCCTTAGGAAGATGTCACCCCCATGTACTGCTTGACTTCCGGTCAACATTTTGGTGATGGCTACTATCCCAAGGGCAAAGTTAGGAGAAAAAGCCAACCCAGATCTTGGAAACATTCTGTGGAGAAGGTTGATGTTGCTTTGGTTTAGTTTGGTTTTGGTTTTTCGTGAGTAGCCCTGGCTGTCCTGGAACTCACTCTGTAGAGGAGGCTGGCTTCTGCCTCCTGAGTGCTGGAGCTAAAGGAGTGTGCCACCACTGCCCAGTGGCTGAGGCTGTTCTGATAGGCACTCTGGACCAAGTGGTTGATCCCTTTACTTTGTTCCTCCTTTAGTAGGGTCTGGGGAATGAAGAAGCTGCTACCTAGGTGATCGCTGCTTGAACGGCTTTGATAACGTGTCAGGAGATGGTGCTGTCCCTTTCCGGCAAGGTCCTGCTGACTGTCCCACTGACTCCAGAAACTCCAGACACCAGCCCCATTCCGTGCAGAACCACAACTTCATGTCATGTGCCCCAGCTTGTCCCATTCTCATCCAAGTGCCATGCCACTTACAGCAGAGGCCAGTCGTAGAAGATTTTATTACATTTAGTGTTCTGCATGCATGTATCCTTGCAGGCCAGAAGAGGGCACCAGATCTCATTGTAGATGGTTGTGAGCCACTGGGTGGTGGCTGGGAATTGAACTCGGGACCTCTGGAAGAGCCAGCACTCTTAATCTGAGTCATCTCTGCAGCCCTCAGTGGCCAGTTAACAGCTCATACAACTTCAAAGTAGCACTTCCACCACCTGTGCTGAGAACATTGCTCACTTCCCCACAGAGAAAACTGGGAGGCTCTGCAGATGCCCACTGCTGGGGAAGCAAGAGGAGATGGCTTCAGTGAAGCTGAGTGGCAGGAGGAGCCAGATCATAGATGATCGGAAAAGGGTACCATGGAGGGACACGAGCCAGGCTCTGAGATCTCTCTAGTGGCAAAGAAGCAGCCTAACTTACAGAGCTTTGCTTACTGATGCTCTTCCAAACGCAGAGTGTCTTGTGCCCATTGGGGCCTCTTGTTCTCCACTGAGGAGAGAGTAAGCTTGATCTTGGCCGTTTGGTGGACCAAAGGCTGCAGCAGCCTGCAGTCCTCATGGGGACGGGGGTGGCCGAGAGAATAGGCTGGGGCTCATAACTCAAGTTCAAAGCCCCTTTCTATCTGATTTGTCTATCTCCATCTGCAAAATAAAATTTCTGTCCAATAGGCTTGCAGGATTTAATAAACAGCCTGTGCAAAGCTGGGCACGGTAAATCCAGAGGACAATTGTGAAAACATTAAATCAGAGAAGTCTGGTACAATGACCAATTAGAACACAAACTAGGTCTACCCTGTAGGTGCTGTCTTGTTGGCTACCAACCCTTCAGTCTGTGCCAACTTGAATCTGTATCACTGTGCTATAGAAGCTTTTGTTACATTATCACATAAGAGCAAAGAAAACTTACCAGGAAGCTGGGCGGTGGTGGCACATGCCTCCCAGCACTTGGGAGGCAGAACAGGCGGATCTCTGTGAGTTTGAGACCAGCCTGGGCTACAGAGAGTTTTAGGACAGCCAGAGCTACACAGAGAAACCTGGTCTCAAAACATGTGCCCCCCCAAAAAAAAATAATTATCAGGAAATATGGGAACAAGAGTCCCTTAGTGAGTGAGATGGGTGGGCTCTCAACAAACATTATCAGAGACATGCATTTGGGAGATAAGGACCCAAGTCTTACATGGGGAGGGCAGGCTGAGCCTTCAAGGAAGAGGCCAGAACTAGACTAACCATACAGCACTTCCTGATAAAAAATATTGAGTCTTATCAAGAAAGACCGAAGGGGCTGGAGAGAAGGCTCCATTTCCAGCAGCCACACAAGGCTGTTGACAATGACCTATAATTCCAGCTCCAGGGAATCCAACACCTTTGGCCTCTTTGGGCTCCTGCACTCATATGCACATACCCAGAAATAGTTACCCACACCTATACATGATTTAAAAATTAAAAAAAAAAAAAAGCTGGGCGGTGGCGCACGCCTTTAATCCCAGCACTCGGGAGGCAGGCGGATTTCTGTGAGTTCGAGGCCAGCCTGGTCTCCAAAGCGAGTTCCAGGAAAGGCGCAAAGCTACACAGAGAAACCCCATCTCAAAAAACCAAAAAAATAAAATAAAATAATAATAATAATAATAATAATAATAATAATAATAATAATAATAATAATAAAAAGCCCAAAGAGATGATGTTTCACTTTGTCTTGGGAGGCAGACATTTCTTTAATAGAGAAGAGGCATCTTTGGAGTACCTGTCCCTAGCAGCTGTGCTGCTGAGAGAAGTTTCTTGGCCAGCAGGGAAGAAACGGGCCTTGGGGATGCAGTGTCCACAGAGTGCTGTCTTCCTCAGTACTGTGACATCTGGCAAGGAAATGGGAGGGAGAGTCAAAGGTCAAAGCAGACTTCCTTCTGAACAGAGTTCCTGTAACAGGACAATTTAAAAAAGGGAGCAGAGTCCCTCTATGTAGACTTGTTTAGCCTGGAAATTCACTATGTAGCCCAGGCTAGCCATAAACTGCCTAGAATTACTGGGATTAAAGCTATGCCAGAGTCTTGATTTTTTTGTTTTGTTTCTCTGTAGCTCTGGCTGTCCTGGAATTCCCTCTGTAGACCAAGTTGGCCTTGAACTCAGAGATCTGACTACCTCTGCCTCCATCAACTCACCAGAGCCTTGTTATTTAATGCAGAACACATTGATCTTCCTGCCTCAGCATTCTGGGTGCTAGGATTACAAGTTTGTATCACCCGTGTCCAGTGCTGGTGATCATAGTTTCAACAAGAAGAAAGAGGGCAGTAAAAGCATGGTGTGGGCTCAAAAGGGGTCATGATTCTCCTTTGTCCCTTTCTCAGAAAGCTCACTCCAGTCAGCATGGTCGTGTCCTTTCTGTTGTGATAAACAAAATGACAAGCAACTCCTGGAATAGGAGGATTCCTATTTCATATATAATGTGATTTTGGCTCACAATTCCAGGGAGAGAGATTCCATAACGGCAGGGGAGGCATGCAGCCAGAATAGGAAGCTAAGATGTCACATCTTTACATGCAAGAGCAAAGTGAAGCTAGGTATTGCATGCCCTTAACCACAGCACTCAGAGGCAGAGGCAGGTGGATCTCTGAGTTGGAAGCCAGGCTGATCTACCCAGCTAGTTCCAGGACAGCCAATGCTACACAGAGACACCCTGTCTCCAAAACCCAAAACCAACCAAAAAACATCAAAAAAAAAAATAATAATAAATAACAACAGGCATGGTATTTAATCCCAGCACTAGGGAGACAGAAGCTGGTGGATGTGAGTTCAAGGCCAGTCTAGTCTACATAGTGAATTTCAAGTTTGCTAGGATGACATAAATCTTTTCTTAAACTGGCCTCGACGTCACAAAGATCCACCTGCCTCTGCCTCCTGAGTGCTAGAATTCAAGCTGCCTGCCATTTCACCTGACTTAAAAAAAATTCAAGCCTTTAAGCCTTTAATCCCAGTGCTTAGGAGGCAGCGCTCAGGAAGCAGAGGCAGGCGGATCTTTGTGAGTTGGAGGCCAGCCTGGTCTACAAATCGAGTTCCAAGACAACCAGGACTGTTACACAGAGAAACCCTGTCTCAAAAAACCAAAAAAAAAAAAAAAAGTTTAAGGACAGCCTCATTTACACATTGTAATCTTGCTTAAAAGAATAAAAGAGCTGTGGGCAGTGGCGGTGGCGCACACCTTTAATCCCAGCACTGGGAGGCAGAGCCAGGTGGATCTCTGTGAGTTCGAGGCCAGCCTGGGCTACAGAGTGAGATCCAGGCACCAAAACTACTCAGAGAAATGCTGTCTCAGAAAAGAAAAAAGAAAAAACCAAATAAATAAATAAATAAATAAATAAATAATAAATAAATAAAATAGGAGCAGTCAAGCTGTGGTGGTGCATGCCTTTAATTCCAGCACTTGGGAGGCAGAGACAGGCAGATGCCTGTGAGTTCAAGGCCAGCCTGGTGAATACCTGGACAGCCAGGGCTACACAGAGAAACCCTGTGTTAAAAAACAAAAAACACCCAGCACTCAGGAGGCAGAGCCAGGTGGATCATTGTGAGTTCGAAGCCAGCCTGGACTACCGAGTGGGTTCCAGGAAAGGCGCAAAGCTACACAGAGAAACCCTGTCTCGAAAAAGCCAAAATAAAAAAAAAATGCTGATTAAATATTTCCTAATACA